AGTTTTGTATTTTCATGAGTGAGATAAGATCTAGTGGTGGAAGTAAGGGTTTGTAAACTTGTGCATACCTGGAAGAACTTTGCAGATAAAATTTTGTATTAAGTAGCAAGTGCAAGTACACCTTAGAATGGCAAGCATTTAAGAACAAAAGGCAGCATTTTCCCAAGGACAAACTTTAGAAAAGTTAAGAAAGAAAATCTTACCACGATTGTATAGGCATTATTGGTCTTTAACTTTTAACTGTGATTGCGATTGCAAACCATTGGAAAATTTTGAGCAGACACATGAGAGGATCTTGTTTAAATTTTAACACAATAATTTTGATTACTTTGAGAATATTAGGTGGCTTCAAAGAGTTCACAAGACTTCATTGAAAAATTTCATTCTTTTTCAAGTTCCAGTTTTTAAGCCCGCTGGAGTAGAAATGTAGCCATAGGTGACAAACAAGAAGGTGGATTTTGTTGTTAATTTTGAGGGTTGAGATTGGAGTTAAAGATGCTACCAAACTTTTTGACTTGAACAAACATTGAAAATTATATTTACAGAGATGGGAAAATTACACAGGATAAGAGATGAATGAGCAGATTCATTATTGGACATCTTGACTGCTAGTGCTATAGTGAGCACTGTACTGATAACCCATAAGGTTAACAGTTAAAATCCACCATCTTCTCTGTGGGAAAAGGTGTGGCTTTTTGCCCTTGTAAAGATTTATAATCTCTATAGAGTCAGAATTTACTTGATGGCCCCTAACGTTAGACATCTACATGGAGATAGGTCAAGTGGCACTTAATGAGGTTTAGGCTAGTCCTCTGTTCTGAGGTATGAGTGTGAAATCATTAGCCTGGATGAATGGATAGAAAAGAGTCCTCTTTGGAACACACTATCTTCTAAAGGAGGAATGAGCAGAAGAAACAGAATACTACAAAGAAATTAAATTAGTAGCACAAAGAATCTTGGAATGCACACAAATAATATTTCAAAAAGTGTAGCGTGGTATACTGTATTGAATACTATTGGCAGCTAGCTCAAGTAATGTGAGGATTTAGAAATAAATGGGCTTTTGAGCAATGAGATTATTTTTGATGAGCTTTCAGTGTCATGTTGTGCCAATAACTTTACAAGGCATGATGCGAGGGAGAATGTGGAGATAAAAGAATGGAGACAGTTTAGAAAACTTCCATTTTGGGGGTAGTTGTTGTTAGGTGCCATTGAGTTGATACTGACTCACAAAGATCTTATGCACAGCAGAACGAAACACTGCCTGATCCTGGGCCAATCTCACTACTGTTGCCACTCTTGAGTCCATCAGTGCTGCCTCTTGGCCAATCCATCTCGTTGTGGGGTGGGTGGGGGTTGTCTCCAATTTGCATAATTTAAAGTAGTGTCAAATTTTTGGTGTATGGTAGAATTGTATTATTTAGTCATTCCTCAGATGATAATGATTTTTTTTAAATCAGTAATTTAAAAACCTACCCCATCTTCCTTAGGTCATTGGCAGATATTTTTGCCCCTGCTGATACATAGTTTCTCATGAAGAAAATGGTTATTTAATTTGCACTTGTTGGTGTTTGAAGTTGTCATATTGAGTTTTCTATTGTTGCTTTGACTAAGGAGGAGGAGGTAGTAGGGTTTTTTCCCTTCTTTAGCCTCCTCTGCGTTGTGTGACTTCACAAGCATTCACTGTAATTTTTTTTTTTTTAAATTAAATGTTTTTATTTTGGATTGAGTGAAAGTTTACAGGGCACATCATCAGCTTCACATTCAACCATTCATATAGCTTGTTTCATTACATTGATTATT